CCAGCATAGAGTAGGTTTACTGTACTTCTCAACATCTCATGAATAACATTACAATTCACCCTAGCATTAACTACATCTCCATTCGTCTTTTGCATTCTCACAAAACGTTATGGATTTTAGTTATGGACATATTTGGAAAGGATGCTTTTATGAGATGAGCTGTGAGTGATTCAGTATATTTTTTTTAAAAAATGTCGTCTTTAACATACACAATACCATTACATGTAAATGTAATTACTACTGTATGTAGCAGTACTACACATCTGTTTCAGTGGGTTTCAAAACTAATACAAGTTGTTTTTGACATTTATTTTTCAATTACAAGATTACCTTGTCTGCAGTTAAGAAAAAAATCCTGCACGTCACAGGTGGGCGGTCTAATCTTTAGCTTTTATCTCAGTGAAAGTTAGGATAAAATGCTCAATCCCAGCATTTAACTATTGGCTATAAATAGTAAGTAACTTAATGTTGGTCCTGCATGCTCTGTATTTTATTAACTTTTGTGGTAATTGTTAATGCTGCTTGTAGTTTATCACAGGAGAAACATGCACATGTAATATAATACCCTCTCTGATGTTTATTTGCATTTATAATGTTCATGTGGGTATGGTTAGCAGTGGTTATTATTATTATTATTATTATTATTATTGTTGTTGTTGTTGTTGTTGTTAATATAGATCAGCAATTATTAAGCTGGTCTCTTCCCCTTTGTTACTTATTGTTGATCCTGGAAGCATTATTTCCATTGGGTCCTTAGAAGAACAGATTCTTCTAAGTTCCATTTTGTTCACACAATCCCACATCAACCTCTTCTGGCTCAACACTCAAGCTCTCTTTTTTTCACACTGTAACGTCTTTACTACTCAGCATTCAAGTTCCTAGAGGACTGAAGTTGGGTTCAGAAGAGTGGAAACAGAACATGTGCCTGCTTTCCCGTGGATATGAGATTGGCAATGTCTTTTCTTGAATAAATTAAAAAGACATAAGTATATATTATAACATTTCTCATATGTGGTAAACAATTTCCTTCAAGGTGCTTCAAGAGAATTGAATAATTTAAGATATTTCTAAATTTACAAAAACATCTAATAATAAAACATCATGTTGAAACAACTTCTACTAATGACAGATAATAGTATTTGATAATGAGTATGATTTAATTTATAAGACACCATTGTACTGTTTAGGAGAAATCATAAGGATTTTATTATAGCAAACTGCAACCACAATTTACATATACCACAGTGTTTGGGCCCACCATGCATGCACTACTGCCTCAAGGATATGAAAAGAGCAGAAATCATTGCAATACATGTAATTATTGTAATTTATGTGGCTGAACTAATTACTGTCATTTACAATTTCAATAATTATATGCATACTGTACATATATTATTAAATGCAGTTACTTGAGAGGTTTTGGTATTTTATTTGCTGTATTGATTTGTTATCTCTTGTTTGACTCTTTCTTTGTAAATTATATATAAAAACATAACATCTTTCAATGTATATATTTTAGAAAAAAGTATATACTGTAAGAATTCTATTAATAATATTCTTAAAATTTATTATGTTGTTGTGAGATGGGATTGATTGAAAAAAAAAACATGCAAATAGCACTGAAAACGTTTTTATTTTTTGGCAGTAAAACTAGCAATAAATGAAAAATTATCATGTCAATCTCATGTGATTGAATTTTAAAACACCTGTTTAAAAATGCAATAAAAGAAAATGTATTACACTGAATGACTGGGAAATGCATTTATACATTATTTATACACTACTAGTATTATAACTATTACTATAACTATTACTATTATAAGAATATAATAAAAATTATACTATATGGGTTTAACTCTATACTGCCTATAATGTATAGGCAGCATGATGCTGTAGTGGTTAGCATTAATGATTTGTAATGCTATGGACATGGGATCAATTACAGACAGTCCAAGACATACGTGTAGTTTAAGTGTTAGAGTGTCTGTATCTGTATTGTGTCTGTCTGCCCTGCAATGGACTGGACATGGTGTGTCCTGCCTTGCACCCATTGCTCGCTGGGATTGGCTCTGGCTCCCCCGCAGCCCTGAATTGGATGTAGCGGTTAGAAAACAGATGGATGGAAGAATGGTTGCTAACTAAACAAGACTGTTCAGCCCATCTACAAAGCTGTTTGGTACCATTGCTTTTAAGAGTAATTGAAGAGTAATAATAATGAACTCAGAAACGTTCCTGTGCTTATGGAATCCCCAAACCATTTTTGTGAAAGCACAACGTATTAATGGCTTGTTTGAAATTCCCTATTACCTCTTCCCAGGACCCCTTTGAAAATGTGTGTTTAATCACAAACAACATTAACAAAACTAGGTATTCAGAAGGGCCATTGTGCAGTACAAAAGACATGATAATGTGTATTTATATAAAATAAATATGAATTATGCAATTCATTTTACAAGCCATTTTATCAGAAACCATCTTCAAAACAGTTAAATTGACATCATTGGAGCAAATTATATTCCACTCTTCAAGCTATTTTTTTTTTCAAATTAATTTTTACATAGTGCACATGTGCTTTCACACAATATCTTCAAAGTTCTCCCAACGGTACAGCTTTTAACTTTTAACAAAATTCTATTATAATGCTCAACAGCCAATGTATCACCATAATAAATTGACCCACCAGATACTAAAAGAATGAAAAGCCAAGACCAATCCATCACAGTCCTACGTTAAGATGTTGACAGCACACAACAGAGGTTGCAATCTTCACTTATATTTCTCCAGGCAATGACAGCATGAGCGAAGTGATATGAATGTGTCTGATCATTGTTATCTCAATCTTCCAAATATTTTACTGCAGATTCAATTACAATCATTAGCTCATCAGAAAATAATGCCTTATATGGAGTCTAATACTGTATGCCTCTCTCAGTAAGATGTTATGCAGTACTAAGCAACATTAATAAAATATATTTTCATTTCACTGTTTTCTTTAATCTACAATACTGGAATAAAAAAACATATTTTTACCAGGTACAAAAATAAAATCGCACTTATAACTGCCACAAATTCTCTTTGATATCATTAGGAAAATGCCCAAATCATTTTGAAGCTGGTATACTGACATTTTATTATACATATATTACAGAGGTTAATTAATTTTGCTGATTAACATCAGTAATGGGTTATCTTAACCACATTTATTAAGACAATTTTTATTTTGGCTCTCTTTTGGAATAACAATTCCTGAACCATGCAATATAATGTAATCAGCCAAATTCTGTATATCCAAAAAAATCAAGTTGGGGAGAAAAGTATCACTATTCCTAAAGTTTACTTGCGCCCAAAAATATAGCCATGAGGTGCTGTGGGAATGCTAACCCTAACCCAAGCTGGGCTTTAAACTGAGCAGCTCTGCAATCTGTCTATGAAGCCCTCCATTCATCTGTTTTGAAAATGTTCCTCATATCACAAATTATGAGTCTAAAACCATCAAATCCATTGGTACAAATTCTTGTAAATTCATCTGCTTCAAAAATGTATCTTCTTTAGGGAAATTTTCAATCAGCTGCAAAAGGCAGTTAACATGGTTTTTATAGTAGATGACTATGTATTACATGGAAGCCTAGGGTTAGTGTTACAAGAGCTATAAATGTTTATAATTCTGCTTCCACTTGAAATGACAAAATTAAGAGAGTTTACCCAATGGACCAGGCTTTCTTAACACTTTTATTTTGGCTCAGTTTTGGAATTTCAATTCCTCAACTGTGCAATAAAATTATATTATTAGGTATTGTTAGGAAAATGACCAAATAATTTTCTAGGAAGTACACTGACATTTTATTATGCAGACATAACAGAAACTAATTAATTGTGCCTATTAGCATCTGTCACAGTACAGATCAATAGGCAGTGTACTGTAAAAGTCAACAGTTTTGTTGCATATGCAGCCATCATTGAACATAATGTAAACTGTACGTTTGATAAACATGCCTGTGATTGCTGAGTATTATTGAAGTCTTACGTTTATATTAGATGGATGTTTGAAAAGGTCCAGAAAAGCGCTATATAAGTGTAAGCAATTATGATTATTAATATTATGATAATGATTATTATTATTATTAAAACAGCCATATCTGTGAACAAATCATAAGCGAAACCAAAACAACCAAATGTAACTCTTAGCTCCATTTTGGAACCTACACTAGTAAATGTGATTACTGTTTCATAGTGCTGACAGAATATAGAGAGAAGCATACCCACATCTTCATATAAATTGCCTGGAAATTGTTCTGCACAATTTCTAGCTGTGATTTTGATTCAGACATGCTTTTTCTGATATTAACATGTTTATTTTATGCATGCTTATGCTTATTTTATATGACTTTGACAGCATTCAAACATCAGACTCGGTCAATCTACAGTCAGTATAGCAACAGAATAGCAATTTCATATCAAAACGAGTTTTAGTTTAAACCCAGCTTTCATAGTTTTCATCAAATTTACAACTATGAACCTAGACATAGTATATGCAATGTTTTAGGGTGCATTATTACATTATTCCAGTATTGTTTTGTTATTGTTTTGATGTACCTTAATGACAGATAATACTTTGATTTTGTGTTTCATTTGAATTCAATAAATTCAATGTTTTTAATTTTTTATCCCTGTTTTCATTACAATCCCTTCTATTCTCACTTGGAAAATATTTGTTTTGTAAAAAAGTGACAGCACATCACCAAATTGGACATTGCTATTCCCACTCTTTGTGGCCTTGTATTTTGTAAGTAAAATTTGGGATGTCAAGGACAATGAAAATCACTACTACAATAAAGAACACCCAAAGTACTCATGATGCTGGAGAAAGAGTAGTGCCAAATTTCACAGCAAACTGTTTCAAACAAAAGTAACTTACAGATTAAAATGTAAGTAGTTAGTTTATGATAAAAACATAAAAAATATGTAAAATACAGTAATTCAAAAAATCCAAAAATACATACGTGTCTTCCTAGCAGAATCCTCAACAAACAGAGATGAGATGTCTTCATCCACTCCAGCTTCATTTTTTGCAATACAAGTGTATGCTCCAGTATCTTCATAGCGAACATTACTTATGTGTACTTCACTTCCATTTGCTAGATAAAAAGGAAAGATACAATAAGAGTTCAAATAAGGATAAAAAGCTTTCACTTTAAGCAATTAATAGCAGTGGCTTTACTTTTCTCAAAGTAACTGTTCTAACTATTGTGTACCCTATGCATCCTACAGTATATTGCTTAACAAGTCTATTGATGTGGAAAATGAAAAAGACATTCCTGTTTTTCCTTTATTGTGTCATTAACTGAAATACTTATGACGTGTTTCCTAAACTACTGGCCACATTTGTGTGTCCATTAAGGCTAAAATTGCCATTCATCATTGGTTTAAAATGAAGTCACATGCAAGATGTTCTTTCTCTTCATAAATTCCCAACTGAGAAAGCACGTGCAGTACACATCAAATTAAGAAGGTTTGTGATAGATACAGCAAGTATAATTAAGAACAATGGTTCTTTGATCGCATAATAGATGTTTATGACAAAATATACCAAATTAAGCTTCAATTCCTTTTTCTTTTGAACACATGGTGTCCTGAAAAATGTGCCAGATTTCCAAAAACTTAAATAGCTATTTTCAACCTATTTTACAATCCAAATGTTTATTTTATAAAAAAACTGATTATCACTGTTTTTAATAAGTACATGCTGTAGTTTATTTAGTAAAACAAATGATAAAACAAATGATAAATGTAACATGCCCACATGTCCTCCTCTTTCCTTTGTCTAAACCCTCCCCAGGTGATAACCTATCCCACATCTCTGTCATCCCCACAAGTTTGTTTGAATTCCCATACCAGACACTGGAATATGACCCTAGGGTCCACATCACCTTTAACCAGACAAGTATTAATAATTCCAGATTGATCTTGATACTGTATATCACTTAAGGTATACTGTACATGTCCGAATTCTACAAGCAAGCTTTTATTTTTTTGAATGGAGAATATACTGTAGCTAGCACATAGAGAATTATCATTTTATTTGTGTCATGTCAAGTAGTAATGGTCCCAGCTGATCCCAAAAGACAAGGAACAACCCAGGGGTCATGATAGCAAACCCAGAAGACATATTCATAGTCATTGATTGTACTTTTATCTTAGTCAGAGAAGTCAGGACTTCCAGAATAATTCTCAGAATTTGTTCACATTTGTCACTATCATGTTGGAAGTTACAGCACCATAATTTTAACCACTCAGAGGTCAGTTCTATACAAAGCTTAATTTGTAGTGTTAGATGGTGACTTGGTCTGCTGCCATGAAGATAATTCTACCTTTCTCTATGCATGAGAAAGGCTGTCTTCCTGCAATCCAAACAAAACTTTATTATTATAGTGACATCTAATTCAAGATCATCTGTTTATGAGACAGCCTTCTAGTGTGTTTCTCGGGGACTGCTAATTTAAATTCTAATTCTTTAATTTTGCATTTAATTTGAAACCTGTCTATGTATCCCATAAATACTGGGGTCATTACACGAAGAGATGTAATGAGTTACTCTGTAGTAAAGTAATATTAAATTGCCATTTTGTCATTTAAAAACATAAACTCTGGAGGAAATATTTGCATACAGTAAAATGTGTTGTAAACTGAAAGGAATATTGATAGAATCTTTACATTGGAAAACTTTGAGAGCAAATATTTCAATATGTAAATGAATTTACATACAATTAATTTAAAACAAATTAATTTAAAGCCAAAGATAATTTAGGACTGGCAAAATAAAATATCTAGTAAATAAGTTAGACATGCATCAAACATCAACTAGGCCAAAGACGGATGTAAATATACAATATCCACTCTGATTCTTCCACTGGATAACCAGTGCCTGAGTACCATGATTTAATTTATGAAAGAAAATAATTAGAGATTAGGAATATTTACTGTACACAGCAAACATTGTCAAACAATTTTCTTTTCTAATTTTTCCATTACAAATTACAAATTATGTTCCTTAGACTAATTTTCTTGATTCTAAGCAAAATATCTTCTTTATTTTAAACTATTCTCTTCTGATCCATCCTTTTAAAAAGATGTAAGACTGAAATATTGATACCTCATATTTTCTAATGCATTAACTTCTTTCATATAGCGTTGCCAGAATTGTTTTCATTTGCTAAAATGACTTTACAAGTTACTCTATTAGTCCAATTCATTTAAATGTGTCATCTCCTTTTAAAGGTATTATACTGTATGCATTTTCTTTATACATTAAGTTTTGAACATTCTGTGTTTGGCCATTTTAGATATTGAGCCAAAATATTGCTCAAATACAGTATTTAATTCTAAGACATATGTTGTTCTGAACATATGTAGGTGATTAGGATCCTTGCAAAATACAATCCCTTAAATAAAATCTATTTGGCAAATTTTAATTCTGACAGATGCACTTCATATTATGATTGCCATGCTGGCATAGTTTAAGTTAAAAATGTCCTTGATATTTGCCTACTACAGCTCGTGTGCATGAAATAAAATATCAGTGTACTGTACAAGAGAACAGTTTTAATACTAATTTACTTTTAATTATTAGAATTCATATAGAATGCCTATAGAAAGTCTACGCACCCATTGCAAAGTAACACATTTTGTGGCCTAACCGGCTTTGATCAAGACATAACTCAAAATTTATTTCACCTTTATTTTTTACATGTAACACATAACCTCCTAGTAAAAGCAAATGCTCAAGCATTCAAAAACTTAGAAAAACGGTTTGGAAAAGTGTTCACAGTCCAGAGATAGTGCTTGGTGGAAGCACCTTTTGCTTGAATTACTATCAGAATTCTGTTTGGGCAGATCCTTACCAACATATCACATTTAAATTTGACTATGTTTGCCTCATCCTCCTAACAGAATTGTTCAAACTCAATCAAATTGCAAGGGGACCATCGACAGACTGTAACCTTCAAGTCATTCGACAGATTTTCAACTGGATTGAGGTCAGGGCTCTGACTGGGACAGTCAAGGACATTTACCTTTCTGTTCTTTAGCAACTCCACTCTTGCTTTGTCTATGTGTTTAGGATCGTTGTCATGTTGAAAGGATCAAAGGCTTTCTTAAAAAATCCATCTGTATTTTGCTTCAGCCAGTTTCCCTTCAATCCTGACTGGTGCCCCAGTCCCTGCTGCAGAGAAACAGCCCATAACAGAATGTTATCTCCGCCATGGTTTATAGAAGGGATGGTGTTCCCTGAGTGGAGTGCTTTCCTGGATTTTCACCAAACATAATGTTTTTTATTTAGGCCAAAAAGTTATATTCTGGTGTCATCAGACCAACAAAACTTCCACCTGTCTTCAGAATCTCCACTGTGTTGTTTTGCATACCTCAAATTATTTTTAATTCGGGCTTTTTGAATAATGACTTTCTCCTTGCCTCCCTCCCATGCATCCCAAACCTGTGGAGAGCTTGGAATGTTGTTGGGACAGTTATACACTGACCTGTCTTTGACAAAAAGGCCTGCAAGTCCTTCAAAATTCTAACTTTGAAAAGGGTGTGTAGACTTTCTATAGGTATTTTAGATATAATTTGTGAATTTGATTGTTAAACATACAGTACAATGTATTGATCAACAATAAAAAACACAACATTTTACATTAATAATTCTTTGGGTACATACCTAATGTTACTGTACCTTCATTTATAAATAGCAATCAATATCTGTTGATTGTTTGAATAGTATAATTCCTTAGAATAACACAATATTGAGGTCACTTATGTATTCATAAAATAATTTATACTCATTTCATAAAATACCATATATTCAGTGTTTGGTATTTGATACAAATTAAATTGTCACAAAAATTGGTTGATTAAGAATCTATATAATAATTTACTGAAATATTTGACAGAATTTATTATCATACTACTCAAGTCTTGCAAATTGTCTGGTTGCTATTGTCGTGAATGGAAAAGACTCATCTTTGAGAAAGGTGGCCTGGAAAAATGAGATATCCAGCCTCAAAAATCAGCAGCCTACTGTAAGCACCTTTCCTGTGAGTAACAGCCTACATCCTCAAAGACAGGATCATCACACCAGTTCACATCTGCCACATCATTTTCAAACTGCAGTAGCTACAACACAAAACTTTACGGAAAAATCATAACTTGTACAGTATGTCAGTATAAAGATAGTATGAAAATTGACTGACAGCTCAGAGGTCATTGAGAGGTAACATGTTGACAACTGAAAAATAAAATCACTGTCTTCTTTAAGCTACAGTATATAACAAACAGTATGAGGTTGTGACAGAGAGATTGATAGAGCATTTTGCTCAATGATGTTTGCTTTGGACAGACCTGATGAGAGAGTGAATGTTATGCTGACTGCTGCATTTTTCAAGCCAACCAGCAGAGTAGTGTAAGTGTAATTAGAGTAAGTGTGAAGTTTAGAGGAATATCCTTTTAACTTAATAACAACTCTGATGCAGCTCTGATCCATTTCTGATAAGAGCGCAATGTTACTGTTACTGTTCAGCAAACATTGATGAAGTTCTTGAGTCAACATTTTTTCATTCCTGCAAGCCAATCACAAATTGTTTATTTTCCACCATGGAAATGCAATACCACCAGAATCACAATGGCACAGCTTCAAGGAAACCCTATTGAGGTTCTGCCATGGCCAACTTTGTCTCCTGATCTGAGTCCATTAGACATTCGGTGGGAGCAATTCACTAGTGCCATCAAAGAGATTTTGTGAAAAGAAACCTAATGAGGTGGCAGCAGTTGCACAGGAAAAGCAGTGGAAATTACTATGGCAGAGAATCCAGAGGATGACCAGGTCTGTGATTCAATATAATCACAATAAAAATAATAAACTTTATATAGTAAACATTCTCAAATATATTGAATATTAGTACATAGTAATTAGTAATATTTAATAGTAAATAGTAAATATAGTAAATATTCTCTCTTCAATTTAGTAAATCAATAATACTTGATTACTAAATACCTTGCAATGTAAGCTGTTTTGACAGTTTTGTTGTTATGTCCATGCCATTCTTCAGCCATGCAAGCTGAGGATTGGGGATGCCTTCTGCATGGCACCTGAGGCTGGAAGTTACTCCTGGTTCTCTGGCTTGGCTAGCTGGGTAGACCTGGATGACAGGGGGAACTTTGTGGTGGGAAAAAAAAAAAACAAATAACATGTACACATTAGAAACCCAGTCATTGAAAGCAGTGAAAGCAGCCATTGATAAAGGACTAGGTATTCAAGTGTGAATGCCAAGTTCATTTTATTTCTTGCTCCACATTAACATAGTTTTCAATAGCACCAAGTACATTTGCTGCATCCTTTGTATGTAAGTAAATAGCTTTTTCTTCTTTAAAAAATAAGAACCTCAGTGTTAAAAAAGGAGAACTTCTATTGCATTTCTTTTTAAAGCCCTTTTTTTATTTGAAACTATACACCAATCACGTGCTTCACAATATAAAGGCATATTGTTAAACTGATTAGAATATTTTCACAACAACAGCAAGATCTTATCATGATGTCATTTAATCTACCATGTTTCTGTTGAATACATTTATTTTAAAAAGTAGATTTTATAAGACATTTATAAAGCTCCCTTTGGTATTAACTGGTACATTAATCACCCAGAACTATACACTATCTAGAAAAATAGAAATAGAACATTTATTTTTAATAAGCTCCGTTGAGTCACAGAAAACTGTTCATTAGGTACAGTATTCATTAACAGACAATAGTATAATGATTTGGTTCTTTATACTTCAATTAGTATGTAAAAACACACTTTGATGCACAACCCAATTAAGTGAACAGAGGGTATAACCAGTGCCATCTGTTTTATCTCATGTGCTTAACCTGCTTGAGTCTACTACATGCAGTTAACAAGTCTGTTGCAGTTACAATAATAATGAATTACAACTTTCACAAACAGTAAGGAAAATGTTGAATAGAATATTCTCTGTTCTGAACACTTATAAGGCTGATATGAGCCTCTGAGAGACCATCTGATTACAAAAAGAATAAAGATTTAATGTACAGTATATACTGTAAATAATACTGTATATACAGTGCATCAGAAGAAACATCACTTAACTCATATATGTTTTAGAGCACAGTATAAAACATTTATACTGTATTATGATTTTGGTGTTTTGATATAATTGTGATTAATTAAAGGCTTAATTAAATGTTTATCAATTATTATTTATTATTATTTATTTAATTATTAATAGTTGTGATACATGCATGTTACTGTGATACATGCCTATTGCATAAATCATATTAAAATCACCCCATTAGCGAGAGAGCACTGTTGAGGTGACATAAACCATTGAATGTCAATCTTGGTAAAATTTAAGACAAAATGGAGACAGGAAAAAAAAAGTCCAATTACATAGATATAACATTACATAGTATGTCTAAAAAATAATATGAAAAAGGAATTGTTACAAAGTCCTGATACAATGAGTAGAACAAAGATATTGATAAGTATCTGATTTAAATAATAACCTGACAAACATGTTTGGTTGCGATTCAAATGCATCTACATCTATTATTTTATAAAACAATTTGTTTATACAGTATATCTCGATTACTATTTTGTTCAGTGATGTTTTTATGGAAGGGCTCCAAGTACAGTACCACAATTATGGTTCTCTGTTCTTCAAGAAGACTGTACTGTGTTTGTATATGCTATGTATATTACTTTAAAAATTCTCACTGAGACCCATAAATTACTTAAGCAGTAATATATTAATGTATGTTTTCTTATTACCTTGAAAAGAGATTGGTAAAATTAATTATTTTCCATGTGATGTCCAGGTTTGTTCACAGATGCCAACAGATCTTAACACATAGCCCACTGCACAGGCTATTATCTACTGTACTGTATATTGTTTTGAGAGTAAGATGTGGGAGATAGTTTTAAACTCAAATTGACCTGTCATTAATTAATACATTTGTACAATTTATATATTGTTTTAATCTAAAATAAATACTGCTATTTCATTTTAATGTGGTGATGCAAAGTCCATTCGAGCAGAAAACTATAAATATTCCAAAAGTATTAATTCTATCATATGCTATATAGATGCAGATGTGATGAATCACTTAAGTAATACAGGAGCAGTGAAAATGACATGATCCTGGGTCAAACTGGTGGAAAAGATAGTTAATAAAGAATGAAATGCCTGGGAGCAAGCAGCATTTGATAGACCTGTAACATCAGCGTTGATAGAGGAAGTAATTGTATTTCAGAATATACTGATATTTAGCGAGCCAGCTGCATCAGGAGAGTAAACTGAGTGATAAAGTTGTGCACCCGGTATCATTTTACTCATTGTGAGTATGAGAGAATGAATAGTGTTTGGGGTGGGGGCATATCTTTATTGCACAATTTACCCCCATGGTAAGGCTAGCTCATAAGAATATAGGACCGTTTTGTTTTTAAAGAAGCCAGGATACTGGCTTCAACAACATGGCTAGGACACCTTTTACATACTCCTGCCACAATTGCATCTTCTTTCATATTAAAGTGAAATATTTAAAACTTCAACTTAAACCCAGATAAAGTAGGTGCTCTGTGTTGTTAAGTATATTACACTGGTACTCATGCTATTCTGTTGGGGAATTATAAATATTTAATTAAAAGTCATATCAATGTTTTTTTCTCACAGAATTACTTTCAATCCTAATTATTCTGTTAAAAAGAAAATTGTTTTATTAACTGACAAAAAAGTAATAATTTTCAGAAACAGAAGCAACATCTACGATTACAGAAACATTTATTTCTCTAAGTGCAGAAGATCCAGTAAAATTAAACAGTAATCTGAAACCATATAAAATATTTAGAAAAGACAGAGCATGTCTGTCAACTAGGAAATGTGTGACATGAACACAGTTAAATAACAGTTGGTCAAGATCCATTTATTTCAACACAAACAAAGTAGTAAACAAACAATTATTATTAAACCGGATTTACTTATTGCTTATTTCATGACTATTATACATTCTTTTAGGTCCATATTTCATAATATACCTTTACATTTGGGAGACTGTAATTTGTTACCTGCAAAATTGAGTTTCACTTTCAATTACATTAAATGTATTTTACATTTTCCTAAAGATTGCAGCTCACTTTACAATCATAAAACTTTTGAAGCATATGTTAGAGAACAGCAACATGTTAATCCTTCATTTTGTACCAGAATGTAGGTGTAGGTGAATGAGAAAAAAAAATCCAGATGAATATTATGAATATAAATTCTTCAGTATCAATCTGGTTCACTCCATCATCCTGTCAGAGCTTTATCAGATTCACACCACAGTTATAATTCTTAGCCATGATGGAATATAAGGTTTAATACCGCCATACTGTATATGGTTATGTGCAAACTTTAGTTTCTGCACCAATTTTCAATAATTCCTGTATTTTTCTGATCTTTATAAGTTTTGCATATGATGCAACCTGAAGACTAGTTTGAGGGACAGCAGCAAATCGATTCTTACCTATCATGACTAGACTGGCATTAAAAGTTAATTCAGTGACAGTCAGATAGAAGATTATGAATACCTTAGTGTTTGTTAGAACAAAAGGGACATGCAACAAAATAGGGAAAATGTTCTGATGGTAATCAATTGCTGGGGAAGTTTCCTTGAGGCCAACTAATTTGTTTTCAACCAATTAAAAGGAGATCTTATCTTTAATTACATTTTAAATGGCATAAGTTGTGAGGTCATTGTTAATGGGAATACTGAATGTCATGGAAGGTCAGAAAACTGCAAAGTTTCATTAAATTCCTCAAGAGGTGTTAAGTGCTCCAATGGAACAAGGTGTTTAATTTAATGATGGACTCAGTATATTAAAGATGATTGAACTGAGAACAAATCTGTCCACTGATGACAGCCTTATTATTAAATAAGCCTGAAATATTAAGAAATAAAGTGAGAAAGTGACTTATTTGTGACCTTGTGTGTTTAATTGAAAACAAATTGAATATTGAAACTGTTTATGTGTATCAAAACAGCATAATGACGATATTTTCACTGGTTGCTCCAGTTTCATCCTCTGACTTCTAAGAAAATTGGTCCTGGTGTGTGTGCATCTGTGTTTGTGTCTGTGTGTGCCCTGCGATAGACTGGCATCACGTCCTGGATGTATCCTGCCGTGATCAACCTCATCATTTTAAAAATAAAATCTCTTAAAACAGATTGAAACAGATGTTTATATTATAAATCCAGATAAAATTAGTATATAAAATACTGATTTTGAATCCTATAATACACTTGAAAATATATTAGTATTCAGTAACAAAGACACGTGGTTTTCTGTAATTGTTTTTCAAATTATGTGACAATGGAGATGCTCCTTTTGTCTAGTTTAAATTTGCACTGCTCCTATTATGGCTCTGAGCTTTCAAACTGCATTTGAATTGTTTCATGATTGATTTTATTTTTACTTGTATTCTGTTGCATTTGGGAAAAATAACATGCAGTTTCTCAAAAATGCATCCTACATTACTATTTTTTAATTTTTAACAATATTAATTTGTTAATCAATGTAATTATTTATTTCTAAATTGTTGCACCCAAGTGTGATGACTATGGCTTAGCCCCTGCCAGGATTCAATCACGGGCCTTCACTGATACATCTTGCTTCAGAGCCACTGAGCACCACACTTTAGAGAGTTGTGAATCCTGCTATGCCAGAAAACTAGGTCTCCCAGGTCACAAGACAGTAATGTCACCTTCTGCAACACACTCAGTGCCAATGAGTCCTGTTACATAACTTCAAGCATATGACAGTTGCTGTCTTCCAGCACAATTTGAGATAATTACATATCCTATTATCCCACAATTAGGCTCCGTCTATCTTTCCTGATGAATCAGCATCAGCATTATTAAAAAAGTCTTATTTTAAAACAAAAAGGTAAAACTCTGCTCTTTTATCCAATTCCACATTCAACAATTATTAACAAACCTACGCTATAGAAAGGTGTGTGCATATAGTTTCTAAGATTTTGATGGAATTCAGGAATGTGAAGGGAGATGTGTAATTGCCCATTGTGACAATTATTTTTCATCACTATTAGAGGCAAGGTATTAATGATGTTTGTATGAAAAGTAGAGGTTGGTATTTTCACTGCTCTTTGTTGTATTGCTTTATAGCTTGTTCATTCTTTTTTAGGTATCTTTTGGCTTGAAACATGGAGGGAAGAAACACACATACAGTACCAAGGATGGAGGGTGAGGATGGGAAAGGAGTATGTTGTACCGTTGGTTCATATTTGGTTCACTGTTTTAGAAATTTAAAACTAATAAAAATTAGATAATAAAAATAGTTATAGCAAGAATACCAAAATTAAAATACATTCTTATATTTCCTTCATAAATAAAAACACAACTTTTTGTGCCAAACTGTATACTGTACTTCACAGTAGTGAAGCTACCATATGTTTTTTTGTCTAACTTCAATCGGTTTTCTTTCAAATATTCCCTCTACATTCCCCCCCCATACATATATACGGTATATACTGTATACTATGCCTTTTAAAGTCACATATTGTTTTTGCATTATGAGCTGGCAATCATGACACATTCAAATATGCTTTAGGAATTTAGGATCAACACAGTTCCAGTCCAAGTCCCAGTTCAAACTAAAAATAGCAACCAGATTCAACCTCTTCAGCAATTTCATATTTCAGTTTAGGTACAAAAGATTAGTCTGAAATATTATAAAATTAGTGCGACTGTGTTTGTCATCAAACTGTTTTAACCTGACTTCAAAGTTAAAGCATCTGCTTCAATACTGAAATAAAATACTGCCTAACAGTATTAGTTTTATTAAAATCATTGATATTACCATCCATGCTATGATCCTTGAATGTCTGATCTGAAAATCTGATTTCCTGAATTCTGCACATTTTCCTGTGATAATGTTCCATTTCCATTTTAATATTATTGTAAGATTCTAACACATGACATAAATAAACATTGTTGCTCACTAAAGCATACCATAAAAATTACCATCTATTGAGTAAGCATTTACTTATTAGTGATTAGCCAGTAGAGTTCAGTTTACATGAAAGCCAGGCACAATTTAAATACTAACAGCACACCAATTAGCTTGTGTATCACCTTGATTTTCTGAAATGCTATTGGAACGACTATAGCAACATACCCCAGGTGTAAAGAACTGTTAATTATTACAGTGTTCTTACCATTCACCTGGAGAATATGGGTCTGGTAAAGCTTCTCATAGCCATCTGCATGACAGCTGTAGTTACCCATGTGAGTTGTGGTAACCTTGGTTATGTACAAAGATTCGTCATCTCCAAAATCCTACCAGGGAAAAAGCGATATTTGTATTTGAGATTTTTAATTATAATCACATTCATGTTAATTAATCAAGACATTTGCTGAACCACATGAAAAAGGACTGGCAACAAGAACATTTCAAAAGTTTATTTTATTTAGAACAAGGGAATTTATTAATATTGTGGATGGATTTCAATGAAATTATTTTAATAAAACATGAACATTTATTGGTTATTTTTCTTTAATTAAATTAGATTCTTAAAAGCAATCAGAAATAAACAATTAGCTTATACAGTAAATGCTAATTTTAGTCATCCAGATTGTATACAAAATAAATATTACCTGGCTATTATTGTTTATAATTCTTTTATTTTTAATTAACCATCCCATTTCATAACAATAAAACTGTTACATATAAATATATAATGCGAAGTATAACACATAAACAATCAATTTTCAAATAATAATAAAATAAATGTTACACAGTGTAATGGTCTGTAAATTAATGTAATGCAAAAAGTTACACACTGAAGTTAAGTAAATGGCAGATACAGTAAAGATGACCAAAGAAAAACACATATTCCTGAAAGTTAGTATGCAGCAAAACAAAATTTAACAAAAGATGTTTGGACTGTCTTTCTCTCTAATTGGTATAATAAAGTGGTTGTTACGTCCCAGTGTGTGTTCTGTGTGTGTTTTTTCTGTTATGTCCGCACTGCTGACCCTTGATTGTTCTCCCTTCCCCATTGGCCCACCATTACACCACACTCTCCGTATGATGTCATCATCAATTAGCTCTCTCCCAATCAGAACACATTTTATTCACTATATAACATGGAGGTTTTCAGCAAGGAGAGGCCTTTTGTTTGACTTTGGTCCCGTTTGGTTTTGGTTATTCGCTTCGCTTCTGGTTATTGCTTCGTTTATTGGTTTGTTTTGCTTTGTGTTTGTGTATTTTTGTATAGCTTCGGCTTAGTTGTTTTGTTGGTTTTTTTTTGTTAGTTTCTTTGTACTTTTGTTTGTTTGTGTGTTTATCCTTGTTTTGCCATTACCTTGCCCTAAAGTGTTAAATGTTCAACTTTTGTGTTCTTTTGTACCCTGCTCCTGTTGATTACTCTTGTTTTCCCTTATTTGTATTCCTGGTTCACTTGTGTTTTTGTGTGAACTTTTGTATATAAGGTTAGTTTAGGTTGTTGGGTACACTTTACACACTTAGTTTTGTATTAGTACACTAGTTTAGTATGGGTGAGTGCCATTTGTCTTGTATGGTTTTGGGTAGTCAGTGCAGGTTAGCTAGGATGTTGAAGACGCCGAAGACCGTGTGTTTCGGGTTTTCTTTTGTAGTCAGATTAGCTTTCCCTCACTGTCCTAGCCAGCTCCATTTTGTTTGTTATTTTCTTTCCTTTGGCACCACTCTAGTTCCTTACCCTTGTTATCACGCTTCCTAGTCCCTCACCAAAATCCACCTGCTTCCAAAAGAATTATCCTAAGTGTTACACCCCTTTACCCCTAGACACTTGGGGTCGTAACAGTGGCATTTGGAATTAGTAACATTTCTTGCTTATAACCTTAGGATGAGAAAACAAGGTTTATGGATAAAACGTAAAGTGAAAAAGAAAGATGTAACCTGAGATTGGATGAGCCTAAGACTTGAAGAGGAGTTAACATCTGAAATGTTATGTTTCTTCTTTCTAGTTTTCAGCATAGAATGAACTGTAACTAGAGAATTTGAATTGTTCATTTTTTAAATAATGTATCCTAATGCACAATTATCAAATAAAAATTTAGCAAAACAAGTTGTTGCAGCTGATATCCTGGTTTCTTTTGAGAAAACGCTAGATTAGATTCTCAGATCAATTAGCTTTTAGTAACCAAATGGGCTTGATTGCCTGAATGGTTTCCTTTCTTATTTTCTTATGTAAATTTAACACATTTAAGAAGAGAAATCATGTTGGTAGTGTGGAACATAATGGAATTGTTGATGTGTGTTTATTTTTTTTCATACAGTTTAAGACATTAATCTCAGATCCAGAGAATTCTGATTTCTCAGACTCAAAGAAATTAAGGCAACTTCCTTCTTCTGTCAAATGTACTATGTGTTCAAGATCAGGAGATAAAGTGTAATATCTAGAGATATAACTTCAATTTAACATTATAGGCTTTGCTGTATTTGAGATTTATGTGAGAAGTCCCTGTGGGAGAAGATGGTGGCCTGAGACTCGCATGGAAGCAGTGTGGGAACTGGTCTCGGCTATTGTGAGAACCAAACAATGCCACTCAGTGATTCAGAGATGTCCCAGAGTTTTAAATTTACTCCCTCCACTAAAGCAAAATTAAAGAAGTGGACCTCTCCCTCTTTTGGATTCTCTCAGAGGAGGTATTAGAGATTTGAAAAACATCCTTAAATATACCCACCAGCTGACTGAGGATCTCAAGGGGCAGAAGAATAACATAAAGGGTACTGAATCCAAGTTACAAGCTGAGGTTGAACTCCTCCAGAGTGAAATAAATAATATAGGCTTTATGCTACTGCAGGGCTATTAACTGTTTGCTCTGCTATGTATGATAATATGTTTTAATAAACATATCGCATAGGTTATGCCTCTATATATTTATATATTTTTTTGTTTTGTTGTGTTACATCTGCAGGTTATTGTCCTTGTTGTTGTTGTTGTTACTTTTCAATAATCTATCTGTTGTTTCTTTATTGTAACATGATTGGATATATCGATCTATGAATGATGTGGGTTGTTTTTTTGTGCACGTTTGTATGAGAATTCAATAGAATCTCAATTCTATTCAATGGAATTGCTGCTCAAAAAGTATAGTTTATTAATTAATGCCACAAATTGAATATTGTGTCTCAAAATGTCAATGGCATCAATTCCTCAATTAAAAAAGGATAAATATCTAACCAGATGGAGAAATTTAAGGCAGAAGTATAGTATGTCTTTTTTCACATTTGACTTTGAACATGACTGACTTTTGCACAGTTTAAGTGGGTTTCAAATCTATTTTCTGCAATGTATAACTCAAGTAAAGGAGTAGCAATATTTACCTTGATCAATAAATCTGTTAATTTGTTCTCTCTTAATCAATAATAGATCCTTCATTAATTCAACTGTCTCCTATACAGTACTGTATATCACAATTTCTCATACATCCGATAATAATTTCAGATCATGATAAATTTTAAGGTCTCATTTAATTATAACTGGTTTAGGTCATCTAGATGGATCATTAACATTTCAATATTTAAGGATGAATCAATTAATATTTTTATTTTAAAAAAACAAGTGAAATGTATTCATTAGGACAGTTAATGAAATATCAAAGTTCAATAGTTTGACCGATCATATGAACACTACACTGTTCATAAAAGGGATAATAAAGTGATTCCTCTTTGTGTGGTAATGACTGCCTTAGTTTATTAATCTCAGACTTTAGAAGTATTTCTAAAGTTTTAGCTAATCGATTAATCTCAGTTATTAATGATATTATCCACCCAGACCAGACTGGCTTGTAATGTACCATTCAAAACAATTTGCTACCTCTGCTGTTGTGGACTCCTTAGATGGGGAATAGAGTCAGTTGTTCCATTTTGTTTCAGATACTTTTCTGTTTCAAACCCATGTGTTGTGGGTTTTCGACAAACATTTATTAGTTTGCTTAAATTTTTATACTGCACTTAAAACATTGGTTCTCATAAATAGTCATATTTCCAAAAATAATTGTTGTATCGTGGTACCAGGTAAGGCTGCCCATTATTGCCACTTCTTTTTGTAATCTTCATTGAGCTTTTGTCTCTAATCTAACATAATGAAGCTATTCCAGGTATTCAGAAACGTTCTTTATAACACATAATTAGTTTACAATATATGCTGATGATACAGTATATTACTTTATCTATAACATCCCAGTTGAACATTCTTAATTAATACTTAATCTTAAGTTAGTTCTATATCAGGTTCTAATATATATTTGCCTGATACTGAAGTTTTAATTGGGGTACTTTGACTAAATATTTTCTATTTAGATGGGATACAACAGGTCTCAGTTATTTGGGCATTTTCAATTCTCCTAATTTTGAATAGTTACATACAGGTACTTATCTATCCTCAATATGGACCCATTACTAAATTCAGTAATACAACTTAGGCAGTTAAAAGACTTTCTATTTTTCTTATACAGTAGGTCGTATTGCTAGAATAAGTATGAATATTCTTTGAATTTTGAAATTAAAATTGAATTAATTTTTCAATGCTTTTGAACTTCCCCAGTCCTCTGTATTTTTCCAAGTTGGATAGTTAACATTTTCTTAGAAAAAGTAAAACACCTCATATAAACTTCACTACTCTTCAGAAAAGTAAACAACGTAGGGGATGATCTGCTTCAGATTTTTTCTCCTAATTCATTTCATATAAACTGAGATGTTTACTTAATTCAAGAACAGGCACAACCTTACTGGTTAGTAGCTGAGCAATTTGCCAGTACTCCATTGTGCTAAAACTACCTCCCTGTTATTGGTAGTAAATCTATTAAAAAGCCTTTAATAGATTTACTTTTAGTAGTATTAATAGGTGTATTACTAAACTTAGTTTCCTCAGTAATCCATACGTTTCTGTAACATTAGAGATCTGGCAAAAACTCCACCATATATTTAAGTATATTCTTCCCTAGTGTCAACAATTTGGCATAACCTAAGCTTTTACTATTAGGAATAAACCTATTCATTTTGCAGCATGGATGTCAAAGAGAATTGTTAAGCTTAGGCAGGTAATTTTCTCCCCTTTCATCAAATGATTCTGGCACATTTTCTTTTAGATACTCAGATATTTCAGTACAACCACCTTCAACATTTGATCAAATGTAAAATTAAAACTTCCCTTGAACTGACCCCACTTATACAGTAATATCATTGAAAAATTGGTGGGGAAAAGTAAAATTACTGTATCTTTAAACTATACGCTATATTTATCTTCCGTGAGATAAGAGGAATATTGACCTTGTATTAAGTAAATCTG